GGTTTCGGATTGACCCCCCACGTCCCAACTTTCGAATCCGTACGTCGAGCCGTTTAGATTTGTGCCCAACTGTTCACGGACGCACGCACGGACGATCATGCGATTCTACAAGCTGCATCTGACTTCGTCAGATGAGCTAAAAACAATGGTGAATACTGATCATGAAGCACTGTCATCCCAAAATAATCGGTGAACAGATAATATCATAATAGAAACAAAGACCAGAGTAATGGTGCAATCAATAGACACAGCAGGATGATGGTAGTAACAATCATACTAACCACTCGCCTCTTCTGAATGCCGGCATGCCACGCGATCATGAGTGGGATCAGCAATTAACAGACATGCGGTTTTGATTTTAGCGTGATCTGTTGTATGATACCAGGTCGATAACAGGTATACGTGCTAGCACGATTGTGGCGAGTGGTTCTACAGTTTGTCGACGTTGAAATCTCGATTGGCTCGATTATTCCTCACGGTTACATTCCCAATCAGTCCGTGCTCGTTTACCCGAACGAAACGAGAGGTTAAAATTGATTTTTCTACACGTCCGAATTTCACGGAATTCTCCCCTGCGCACATCAAGTCAATCCCCGCTTTTAGCGCAGATTAAAACTAATAATACCGAGCAGGCGTGGGAGGTGAGCACAATGCGACGACAAATTCGTGCATGAATTGAAAAGCACGCGATTGCATAGACACTAAAAGAAGAACGAGACACTGGCAGTCAGGCACGTCTCCCTCCTACTCGTGTCGGCACTTCCCTCTAGTCCGCGATGCGTTTGTGCAGCTCGGGTGGGTACGCAGCCACGTGCGCACGTGCGACAGCCCCGACGCCGCCGTGCAATTCACAGGAACAGACAGCATCGCAGCAACGCACCACCGTCCGCCGATCGCTCACAGCATTACCGAATTAAGGCCTACCTTCTGCCCTGGCCATCGCTGACCCTCTTTGTCGTCTGGTCTCCGTTGACGGCAGGCAGAGTGGCGAGCTCCTTGCCAAGGTCATTGTTGTTGGGAGACAGGCCCAGCAGCTGCCTGACCCGCGCTGACCTGACATCGATGATGGTGTCCGTGTAACCGATCTCCTGCAGGTACCTGCGGTCACACACAGCAGCAACAAGCTGACTGGCCTGCTTTAGGTTCTCTCACGTCAGCACGCAAGCAAACGCTTCATTTGTACTCGTACTGCATCCTACTCATATAGTACTAGATGGACACACTACACGTAAAAATTCCATCCTTTCTGCGACTTCCCGTTTCTGAATCTTATTTGCGACAATTATCACAGCTATTATTATGTGATAAAACGAAGGGGAAACCACGAAAGGCAGGGGCGTAAATCCTGGGGGGATGGGGGATGCATCCCCCCCCGCTCTTGAAGGATCAAATATCTACAAATATCACCCTTGAAATTAAAAAAAAAAAGAAAAAAAAAGAATAGCCAAAAAGCCAAAAACACGTGAAATTGTGAGAAATTGCAATTCTTACCTGTGTTTTAATACATGTACTATAGTAACCTAACTGTGTACGCTCTTTGATAAGTCATGAAAAGTGTTTTGAATCCTAACTTGTAGGGTTGAGTCTAGGGTTGAGATAGTGTCATCAGACATAAGAATATGGCCCACAGTATGCCTCAGATTGCAGGAAAATGGCTTAAATATTTCAAAATTTTCTGTGGGGGCATGCCCCCACACCCCCCTAGCACTGGCATGCCTACGGCATGCGGGCCTGCCTGCAGCAATGTTCATTTCGCCCCCAGCTATCGCCGATCATCCCCCCACTCCTTGGTACGGATTTACGCCCCTGACGAAAGGGTTTCATTTTTTATGACAAACAATGTAGGGAATTTAATTTTATGAATTAGTGTTTGTGCGTCATATGCACTGCAAATTAACACTTGGGTGAGTGAGCAACTAGTAAATTACATTTTAGTTCAACTTTGAGAGTTTTAAGAGCTAGCATATATCTGGTTCTCCATTGATCACAGTATTAGTTCACAGCTTAATTAAAGCAGAGTAGAGAAATTCCATTAGCTGCTGATAATGGTGATATCATATCCCACTGATTTCACTGTAATATAATATTATTGATCTCAAGAAGACTCAAATAAACCTGAACATTACACTTTAGCTCTTAAACAGTATTCAACTTAAAGAAGGCTAACAGAAAAGCAGACATTACTTGTAAAAAGCCCCCCCTCCCCCCGAGGCAAAATCTGGCTTCAACAAACTCATTGTGTGCACAACTCTGCTTGCACTGGCCGCTTCAACGTTTTTTGCTCGAGTTATTTACGAACAGTACTTACTGTCTCAGTAGTTGTCTGCCCTGCTTCCACGAATGATTCTCAACACCTGTCAGATAGTTATCTCCGTTGAGGTCCTCTGAAAGAATGAGAGAGCGCTGCACACAGGCGGACAACATCTGTTCAATGTCAACTGTTTACACATACGTGAAACATCCCACCGCCACACGAAATTACCCAAAGATATAAGCCTCGTCCACACGAGACCTCGTATTTATGAAATACGAACCTCGTTCACACGAGACCTCGTATTTATGAAATACGGTATTTGCGAAATACCGAATCTGAGACAAATACGCGGCCGAGCGTTCACACGGTGATTCGCGGCTCCAGAAATACGGTATTTGCGAGCTGCGAGCTGCTTTAAACAATCAAGCGAACAATGTGAAATAAACAATGCAATGCGCACCAACTGCCGATAAAATACGTAGACGGGTCAGCGCTCGACAGTTCCACTCGCGTTACACTGGAACTGTCGAGCGTGGACCAGTCTATAAAATACGCGGCTTCAGAAATCCGGTATTTAGCGTTCACACGAGAAATGCGCGGTCCAAGAGATCCGGTATTTCTCAAGCACGGCAAATTATTCGGGGTCTGGGAAGCCGCGTATTTACATCAAATACCAGATCTGTTTAGATACCGTATTTTTTGGACTGCGCTTTTTGCCACGTGTGAACGCTAAATACCAGATTTCTTGCTACGTGTGAACGCGGCTATAATTATACGCGATCGATTATCATTTTTCTGCCGTGCAAAGAAAACTAGGATGCTGCTGCTAACCTGCTTCCTCCAACTCTTTATTGTCTGGCAGCATGTCTGCACCATACTTCAACTTGTGGAACCTGGCCCTGAAAGCAAAAAACATGCCACGGATGTAGTACACTGCAAATTTTGGACCCAACTGAAGCCCCGTTTCGATTATAGATCATGTGGTGGGAAGAAGCCCAAGCTGGCTCAAGGCATGCGGCATCGTTGCACTAAGCCTGGCAGCTGCATCACGAATATCACGTGATGCCATACTAGAAATCAACATGTTATAGATGCATTTCATATATATATACATTCTGCTAAACCTACTGTGACATATAGAAAGCATGATACCGAAAAATCATTATCCATGTCCTAGGGATTTATGAGTAAGTACCTACTGCTGCCTATTTGACACCTATTCAGTCTTGATTAGGCACCTGCCATGATTACGCTCCAAGTCAAATAGCTACTAATTGATGGTTTCCTATCTTGGATAATAGGATTATATATGTTGCAACTTGCACCATTTACGCATCCAAGCTATACTTAAAACCTATGATTGCAGCTCGGCAAATCACAGAATCCTATTAGTTTGCAATGCCCCATATTTACGAGATCTGCACGAGCGTGCGACTAAAGGTCTACATAATGTCACCAAGCGTCTGCCTGGGAACGTCACAAAATGTCTGCTCAAGAATTTCGACAAATGTCTGCCTGAGAATGTCACGAAATATGCACACGAGAATGTCACCAAATGTCTATAGGAGAATATCACCAAATGTCTGCCCAAGAACATCACGAAATATGCACATGCAAATGTCACCAACTATTTGCAGGATAATGTCACCAAATGTCTGCGTGACAATGTCACCAATTGTCTGCAAGAGAATAACACCAAATTTTTACACGAGAATGTCATCAAATGTCGACATAATGTCAATATATGTCTTAAGGAAAACGTGACAAAATACCTACACGGGAATGTCACCAAATGTGGGTGCAAAAATATCACCAAATGACTGCGTAAAAATGACACGAAATGTCACCAAATGTCTGCAGAGATGTGTCAACAAATGTCTGCAGTCAGACAACTTGGCTGTAGGCCACACAAGCTGTTATATGCTAGCGACCTTTCATCAGATGGCAAGCTATTAGCATTTACTACCCGTGGCATACATAGTCGAAAAACTCAATTTACTCTACCTGGTCCAGGTGGCCTGTTTAGGTGCACTATGCCGATGCACATGCCCTAAGGATCCTATTACAGCCTACAGTTAGCTACTCTAACAGTGCAGTCTAGCCGTTCGCAGTTACTTCCTTGTTACAAATCATTCTGTATGTCACGGTTCATTCACACCGCCTCACCGTAAAAGCTAAAACCTCAAAGAACGGCGAGAAATTCTGTGCTTGCTCATTTCGGTACGTTAATTAAGGCATTTATGCCTCGTTGATTCAATATTGAAAACACCAACATAATAGATGGTTGGGCTAGGTTGGGGACATGCGACGGTCACCTGCTACTAGAAAAAGTCCTCGGCAATAGGCCAATCACAGCAAAATCTAGAAATGGATTTCCCAGGTACCAATCATGTACATCCAACCGTGATTGCAAGTAATTCTAGGACTCCTCAGGTGGTCGTGCGAATTGACTGCTTCGCTTTTACTCGGATGTTACAGTTACAATAATTGGAACGTCCAGCGGGTGGCTGACTGGCTCGTGGGTAATCTGGAGAATGAAGTAGTACTAGCATCTTGCTAGTATGCCTAGGGGAATGATGCAGAATGGACTAGGAAAAACATTCTATCTAGACTTTCATCTTACACGTGTTTTCAGTCACAGAAAAACATCTGCATGGACATTAACAAGTGGCCTCAGCTGGTTTCGGCTGTTTTTTGGGTCCCGGATCCAGGGGCACACTACTGGGGATCCAACAACAGTAGCTGAGAAGGAGGTTGAAGAAAACCAACAGGCTATATAAAACATTGGTTCTATATTCATGAACCCAAATTTTTTGCAACCCCAAAGCTCCCAGGTCGTTCATCATTATGCACACGTGGTGAAGGTGCTGATTGCTGAACAATGAATTATGTAATGCAAGTCACGGCTAATAACCAGGGACACAATGAGCTGAAGGTGTTCTCCCACTGTGGAAGTTCAACTCCCACTGCCCGAGTGCACTGCTCCTCAACAGCCTTTTAGTTGCGCTGGGACGCTCAGACTTTACAAATAGAATCTACTTTACAAATAGTTGACCGATTAACCAGATTTAGCCATGATAAGCTTGTTAACCCTGCCCGATCCCGTTCCACCTGAACAACCTACGCATACGCGATATCCGGCTCTACGTAAAATCGCAATCGCACGTACACACACTAAGAGCAGACGTGCAAGCAGACAGAAAACTGCTTTATTTCATTGCGTGCTATTCGGTCACGTTACGCCGTCGATCGTCGCTGAACTAGCACGGCTGTACCGAGAGAACGCTGCCAGCGTGAAAAGCTCTTCCTGCAGCCGCTACACGCACATGGGGGGCCGCGATACAATTAATGGTCGGAAGAAAGGACAGTGATGGGGAAGCAAAAGCGCAGATGCTTCTCAGTCTTTTCATTACAAAATCGGTTGTCAGGTGCCAAAGTCGGTGTACCCAATCCCATCTAATGACTGGGTACAGCCACCCGGCTCATGCACGTATATAACTTACATTATACGCGATGATAGAAAGCCGCCGCTTTCCATGTATCATTCCCACCGCATTAATGATAGTCCTATCATGATTCATCAAATCTAAATATGTGAGCAGTCACAAACGCCAACTTCAAATCCTGTTAGAGATTGCAGGGATAATAAAGGGCCGGGACACACTAGGCAATTTTATCGGGTGACTCAGTCGAGCGACTCAATCGCCGGTGAAAATCGCCTGATGTATCCAGTCAGTCGCCGCCGATTTAGTCGCACGATTTAGTCGCCCGATTCAATCGCATCGATCAAAACGTTTTGATATTATCGGGCGATTATTTCAGTCGCGCGACTAAATCGTGTGATGTGTCCTCTCGACTCGCGCGATAGAATCGGGCGATATTATCGGGCGATAAAGTCACCCGATTAGATCGCATTAAAATCGCCTAGTGTGTCCGGCCCTTAACGTGCAAGCGCACGAATAACTAGAATGTCGTGAAGTCTTGACACAATTAAAATCCGCTAATATTCTAGTTTAGCTCGTTAGAGGCATGTTTATTCTTAAAAGCAATATTTTTCAAAATACCCCTTAAATACTATTATTTGATACTAAACACGGATGTTACTTTGCAATAAAATGAACATTTCTCTGGATTGGTAAAACTATTTAAAATAATTTTTACAAAGCACAAATGCTTTCAATACAAACATATGCAACAACAGAGAGGCTGCCATCTTCACAGCTGCAGCTAAGATACACTTCTCCTCCCACCTCAGACAAAAAAAGAAATCAACAAAAAACATACTAATACACTATTTTACTGCTGCAATATCATGTCGTATTCACCATACCTGATTCACTATGTACTACACTGACTTACATCTCCTGTCTCACAATATATCACACGGCCTTGTCTACTGCTTCACAATGTATCACACTGACTTACGTCTACTGCTTCACAATGTATCACACTGACTTACGTCTACTGCTTCACAATGTATCACACTGACTTACGTCTACTGCTTCACAATGTATCACACTGACTTACGTCTACTGCTTCACAATGTATCACACGGACTTGTCTACTGCTTCACAATGTATCACACTGACTTTGCCCCAATAGTCACCCCATGTATTATATGGACCAACCCCTTTTGCTTTTTTATATATACTACACGGACTCACCTCTCCTGCTTCAAGGCATACTCAAGCATCTTGATGCGGCGCACAAGATCCCTCTTCAGGTTCTCCTGGCCCTGTCGCTCTCCCTGCAGGAATGCGATCCTCGCCTGCAAGAGCAAACAAGACCAATAAGTACGGTAGCCCTTTCCCATCACTGACCACGTCCCTTAGTTGCAACATCATCATCAGTATCCGCATCAGATTCACTTAGTGTATGTTTGTTCTCTTCCAAGAACCCTCACCTCCCTTCGTGCATAGATTGATCATTATATCTTTTAAAGCATCACCTCCTCACCCTGGTATAATGACCATGGTCTCCTTTAAACCACAAACTCCTTCCAGGGATATACTAGTCATGGTCTCCCTTAAATCATCACCTTCTCCCCCCAGTATACTAATCGCTGTCTCTCTTTAACCCTCACCTCCTCCAATGGATATACTGTCCACTGTCTCCTTAAACCATCACCTCTTCCCCAAGGATAGAACTGATAATTATCTTCATTAAACTGTCACCAGCTGCTCAGGAGTATGTGTATGCATCAGTCTACCAGGACTGGTAGACCGATGCATATATATATCTCAAATACATCCACAAATAAAAATAGGAAGTAAAATTTATTTTCAATTACTAGAAGTTATGCTAGTTATTCAAAATCGCCAATGATTCGTGGTTTTATAATATATGAAGTAGCATAATAATAACACATGTACATGCGCAGTCTTAAATATTGCAAGAATTACTTTTCAAATGATGCCACATGCACAAGTGCATTTAATTCTGACAGAATTGCATCCGATTCTGTAACGTAAGTGGTTTCAGACCTGTACCGCATTACTTTCTGCAAATGCCCATTAATAACGAAATATAGAGACAGGGCCTCATGGGAAACAAGTTACATCAGCAAGCTGTAACCTACAACAAGAAATCAACAAAGAAATTGCAATCGCTGCATATTTCGGTCAAAGTAACGATCGATATACGAGAGGTCTAAGGTGTGTTATCCCCTACTGTAGACACGTGTGCTCTTGTGCAAGCAATACCAAGTATCACAGTGGTATGGAAAATATGAGAAGCATCGTGAAAATTGTTGGTAATCCTTAATTTGAACTAGCACCTTCTCCCGAGGGATACACTGATCAATAATTATGTATCCTAGACTGCCAACCTCCCCCCTCCCGGTAGGATTACTTTCTACCATAGAACATCACCTCTCTAAAGATGAACTGCTCATTATCTCCCCTAAACTGTCACCTCCGCCCCCAAGGAGAGAATGATCAAATCATATCAAGAATACCTCTCCCATGAATTTAAGCATCTCCACCACTGCCAATCACTCTAAAGTGAGACTGATTATCCTCTACTCATAGACCAGTTTCGCAGAATCGACTGAATCATACTATTAAGGAGTGATTACTGCTATTAGGGATTACTTTGAGTGAATGAATGTATCTATCCATATCCATTTTACTTAGATATGGGTATGAGTTCTTGCAGATTTGGAGGGAGGGGGGTAAAGGAGAGTTAGGGTTACGTGGTCAAGGCAGTATTTACAGACAGGAAAACGCTAGGTCACCAATTAATTAGACAATGCACGGCCTCGGACCACGTTTCTCGGCACCTCGCCATATGTTGCGGTTTAGAAGCAGCTGGTGAGCCGGAGACAGCTTATTGATTCATACATCCATCATGGGCATGTATTTATGATGTGCCAGCTAGACCATTTGCTAGGATGTACATGCTGGATCTACAACACCCTCTACATCCAGCTAAGCACCATTCACAGCTTAGGATTTACTAGCAGCAATCGAGTTTGCTCAGTTGCCACAGCAACTGACATGGGTTCTTACAAAACCTTAGCTCTTATTGGATTTTTACTGCCTCTGATTAAAAATCGGCCACAGGATACTAAATTTCCCGTTCTTGTGTATGAATACAAATCAACACTAGATTCAGCCAAGGACATTCTCCTCTAAGGACAGTGGACCACTTTGCAGTAGAATTAGATGACTTATACTGGCTGAACCAAAGTGACTGACTTCATTTTTGAGAAGAGTCTGCACTGTGCAGCACATGTATGTATAATGTCGAGAGGCAACTTTGGACTGTATAAACATGGATATTTACTGAATCATAGACACGTAAATAACAAAGTTGCTATATTATTAATTATTTTACCATGGAAGGGCATCATTAACACCTGGTTGGCATCTTACTCGTAACTCTCAGATTAAATACAGTATCGTATTCACAGAACCGCTCTATGGTTTATTCACAAACTTATCTGATGACATACAGTAACAACCTGCGTATAAGACCCTGCATTTTTCTAAGTTAGCCTAAAAAGGTTCTTATATAAATTATAATTGGTGTTTACTGAGAAATTAGGCTATTTAGGTTTTTAAATAGGTCCTTATTTTCTTAAGAAAAAAAAGTGCTTGTTGCTGGTAGAATATTGGTGCTGTCCATTGCTTATATAAAATATGCATATTATAGATTATTAATCTATTATTATTCACTCCTGATTATATCATGCAGCACAGTAATTATACTGATATTTCCCTGAAGAGTATATATATATACATGTGTAAAATACTACACGTTATCATTCATACCTATGACGAACAAACTGTAACGTTACTAACCATAACGGTACTAACTATGTTTTTGTTGTGTTGCTTAAAAATATATAGACTACTCATTAAATGTTCTATGCTAAAACACAAGTCAGCAAGCAAGAAATGACAGGAGAAATACTGCTCAATCAAAGGTGAGCCATTTTTTTCCATGTCCATTTTCTGTAACGTTACTAACCGGAATTAAAGTTCCCATCACAACTCAAAGGAAAGCCTAAATGTTTTTTATTTCACATATATGTAGAAGGTCTAGACTAGAAGTATTGTTGGTATTATTACTGAGATTGAACACAGTTCAACACACATACATTTTCATTTTACAGGCCAGAAATATCTATAATAACCTTTAAAGTGTAACGTTACTAACCGTGGAATTGCCCATATAATTATGTCTAAATGACTGCAGTCTAGACAAATACAAACCCTATTCTAGGTTATGTTATTTCTTTTTATGCCCAATAAACATCAACAAAATAAAACTAGATTGTTTTTAGCTTGTATTAGTTGATTTATGAATTTTTACGTGTTAACTGTAAAATTTTATCAAATAAGAACCTGTTTCAAATTTTAGGCTAAAACGAGTTGTTGTGTCAAGGGGGTTCAAATGGAAAATCTTAGCCTAACAGGTTCTTTAAAATCACTAGGTTCTTATACGCGTGTTTTTACTGTATTCACGATTCATCTTTACAAATTTCATTTCATTCATTAAAAAATGTAAATTTCAGCATTAGTGATTAGTTAATGTGATGACCGGTATGTGAAGACCAGGCTGCGCACAGCCCCTGAGAATTACGCATGCTAATTCAACAGTGCCCATTGAAGCTTGCTGTGGGAAATTTACTCTAGGTTAAAAACATATTGACTTTCAATTAGTAAAAACCACAATCACACGCACGTTTTATTCCATGAATCTAAACCCAGAACCAAAGTCTGGATGCCAAAAAATAGGTAGGGAATTCAATGAGTGGTGTAAAATAAACATGAGCATAAATTAAGAGTAAGCTATATCAGCAAATGTATGAAAACGAAGTCCCATCAAACAATAAATGCTGTAACGAAAAAGGTAACATCACTCAGCTGTTTACGACGCTGTAGGAATTAAACCCTAAATTGTAGAAAAATTGTCCTGGTCATGAATTCGTTAAGTTAAATTTATAGAAACCTGTACTGAGTTCACGAGTGGTTATAACAGAACGTCAACATTCGCAACTATCTACATACATATGCCCTCGTGTGTTTGACTGCTCTACCTGTATTAACCACATTGATGCGCACTGTACGCCCGTGAGTGCAGGAGTATCTATTAAGTATTATACACATGCACGCACGCACACATTCACTGCACTCCGTAGCTAACCTGTCAGAGAATGTCAATGCGCTTAAAAGCTTACGATTTTGATAACTGTGCGAATCTGAAGTGCCATTTTATTGAACATGTTGATGTCTGGAGGGAGAGAGAGAAAATTAACTCAAACAATTTATTGCCTGAATAAAAATCCGGATACCAGAGAGATGATATTTCTTGCTTTTAAATTATATGACTCTAGCACTTATCATAAATTTAATAATTGAATTGGGGTTTAGTAATGAAATGCACACAGGTTTACTGTTCGATATCTGCGAGACAGCAGTTCACCAAGCTGATTTTAAAATTCACTAGCTCATGTCATGGATGAAGGTTACTGCTAATGGAAGGGTAAAATATAAAGCTAATGAGGTTAGAAAATCAGGTGAAAAATTCGAAAAACAAGGTAATAAAGGGGTAAATATAATAAAAAACCTCTCATTGAAATTATTTACCCTTGTTATGGATGACAACTACTGCTACAGCAGACCTGTATATAGTATATTATAGATAATGAATAATTTAACTGCAACTAATAATGAATGCTGAAATATTGTCACCTAAAGTTACTCATTCAAAAGATTGAAAATTATTAATGCCCCATGTGTATTATACTAAAATAAACATCAATAATGCAACAAATGTAATCACTGTAGGAGACATCTAGTACACAACCAATTTGGGCAATGTCGAGATTAGAACAACCAAACTTTTATGTTTTCAGACAGAAATCTGTATATATGCCTGATCACAGTCATCCCCCATTGATAAAACTATACTGTCTATTCCTTTAAAAGTCTTGTACCAATGCAAACTATAACTTTAAAACAATCAGTTCCATGTGCTAGTTTAAGCTCAAGGTGTCAACATTAACAAATCAGCCAATCAAACACTCAACTGGCAGCATGAGTCCCACGCCTGTGCACCGTGTTGTGACGTGAGACCTACAGAGGCACCAACTGTAGCACGCAATTAATTAGTATTTAACATAAATTTAAAAAATGGGATGTGAAAAAAATATTCTACCACTATTCTGAGATCACTGTATATCACATCTGTACTATAAATTACATCATACACTTCCTCAAAATCTATGTGTCAGACTGTTTTTAATTAAATAGCATTTCCATAACTAATAATAAAGGTGAAGTGTTTTGCAATATATGTGTTCCATATTAACCATGAATAATATATTGCTTTTGTTAAGTTCAATGTTAGTTCTGCCAGTATAATCTGACCAAGCAATTTAGTCAATCAATTGTTGTTAAGTGTTATTAACACGTTCAACGCTGCCGGTGTTAAAGAGAAAGTAGCCTCTAGGATTTTACTGCATACAACTGTACTTAGTATAAACACAGACAGTCACTAGTCGCTAGTACTAACCTAAGACACCGTCTTCAATGCATTTTCGAATATGACATAAAACCGGAAAGGAAAGTTATCCATCAAGCGCGAACCAACGAACGAGCACCCACTACCCCAACATACAAGCATCGGAACTCCGGCGAACCGAACAAGAAATACAAATAGGAGCGTCTCCATAGCACACACCTCGTACCACACACGTTCCCTGGTAAATCGCTATTGTCAAACACATCTTTCTAGGCCAAAACAAAATATAGGTGTGGTTACCGTTTTCCGACCGACCCCTATTTTTCCCAGCGACCCTAAACATTTTATTGTCAATTTGCTTTAAAGTGAAAAAAAAAAGATAAAAAAAATATTAAAAAAAAATGAATTGGACAGTTCCTGCCTTCAAAAGGCCCACAACGCACATCCTTCGGACATGGTTCGTCAAAGAACGATGTTCAATCTAAAATAACAATGTTTTCGCTACCTACTACCTATTTTTATTCGGCATGAAGGGTAACCACACCTATATTTTTGTTTTGGCCTTACCGGAAAAAATAAGTATACGTTGAATGATATCATAAAACAAACTTTCGAAAATGCAACGGTGTCGTGGCATTTGAGACGAAAATGCCACGAAAATGTCAGTTTTTTCGCGTGTTTTCATATCAATATATTATTATGACGGGGTAACGATTTCCTTACTATTGAACGTGTAAGGGTGAGATAACACTATGCAGAGTAAATGTGTCAGTTTGGTTAGCTTTCCTGCAAAGGAAATGTGGTAAATCAAAAAGTGAATACGTTGTAAAAACCCGAAAATCCCCCGCTAAATCCGAAAAACCTGTAAAAACCCCGAAAATCCCGAAAATTCCGCAGGGCGAAGGTGCTTTGTTGAAGGATTGTTTACTCTAGGTTCTAGGGTTATTTTCAGTAAATTTATGTTAAAATACGCTACATAAAAAGTTTCACATGGTTACAATTACCATTGAAAATATTATTAAAAAATGTTTTAAAACGAACGACTACAGTTGATTACAACGACGGTTCGGCCACTCAAAGCGCACGATCTGATAAGTTGCGCAAAACCACTTTTCAGCCAAGGGCTACAGACAAGGGGTGTTTCGTTATTTTATTTTCATTTAAAAGCAAAAGGATTGTAATTTATCTTATAAACGACATATAGTTTCAGTTATAATATGGATAAATTTGCCTAAAATGAATATTGTTCGGTTAAATAGCATTTAGGTATAAATATAATTGCACCTTTGTGATTTAGCCCTCGGTCTGTAACGTGCAAATAAATTCAAATGCGCCACTTTTTCGGGTGGCAGCACGGTCGCGGTATCATGGCGCCGTTCAAATTTTGTAGCGTTGATGTGTAATTAATTATAAACAATTAACATTAGGTATATCTGGTAACAAATACGTGGGGTATAGACGATTTGTTATACGAG